ATTTTTTTTTAACTGTAAAATGTTTAGGTGGATAAAACTACAGAAAGCTATTTATGAGCCTGCACTGTCAGCCAAAGCTATTAACAAGTGGGCGTGGCTAGCCACCTAACAATAAGTGCACGGCTGCCACCTAACATGTACTTAAAATGTTCAGGTGGATAAAACTACAGGAAGCTATCGTGTGCACATCCAGCCACCTAACACTTATTTTGCATGTCTTTTTTTTTTACTTTTGTCATGCAATTTGTATGTACATAAAAATACAAGGGAAATCCACATGAAATATGCAAGCTTATGTTCAGGAATAAGAACTCTCCAATAAGCGGCGAGAATCCAAGGCACGGGCGTCGCCCTATGACATGAACCTTGTTATCAAATTCATGCTTCTTACTCCTCATCACTCTCCTCTGAACTTGACGCTTCTTCACTGGACGACGATTCATCCTCATCATCTGAACTTGACTCCTCTTTCTTTTGCTTCTTGGCACCCTTTGGAGCCTTCTGCTGTTGCTGCATCTTCTGTTGTCCTGGTGATTTTAAACTTTTCTTGTATGCCTCCATTTGCTGTCAAAACAAAAGAGTTAATCAATACTTTAGAAACAACTTGCCCCAGATACATAATCAACATTATACCAGCCCTGCCAATTCAAATCTACATTCAAATGGCTAGTATTGTAACATACTTAAAACGCCAAACAGCATTTTAATAAAAACATCATGATAGTTATTTATAGAATATTAAAATAAGATTCTAGTTAAAATTTCAGTTTCTAATAACATGATAATGACATTTACCTTTAAATATCTTTCTTTTTCCTTTGCTGCCGATTTTTCATAAACTGCCTTTTGTGCTGGCGTTATCTTCTTCCACATATCAGCAAGCTCTTTGGCAACCAATGCGACATTCCAATCGGGATGTTTACCTCTGACCCCAGCCCTTTCATCTTGACTGTACAGAAAGAATGCTGACCTGTTGCAAAATAAATAATATTACAATTATTTTTATTTTATGTCAAATGACAATGAAAAACATTGAATTTAGCTGTGTTATAAACAGAGCCACTAAGACGACTGCAATTACATTAGTAGCACTCGCATACGCATTTTGTCTTTAATACTTGTCTTCAATGTGGTAGTGGCCTATTGCAACTGTCAATTGGATACAGTACATACTAGCCTGGTTCTCACGAGAGCCCTATTATCCGAATCGGGAGCTAACCGTTAGCACCTGTGTGAGAACGCCCGATCGGTTAGCACCAACGGTTAGCAAGCGCTATCGGTTAGCAAGTTGAGGGCGTTTCTATCATCAACCAATCACATGTACGCGTTTACAATTTCCAATTGGCCAGTGATTCGATCATCATATTGTTGGTATCTGAATCGGGATTTTCTCGCATGGCAGCTAACGGTTACAGGATCCGGATCCTGCTAACCGTTAGCTGCCGTGTAAGAACATAGCCACTAA